AATTGTGTTGCTTATAACACACGCTGTTCCAATGGCAGTCGCACATTCAAGTAATTACCTGGCATTTTTTGGATCGGTTGCTCAACGTTACATTTATGTACAGTATTCGATTTGTTTTGTTTTTTTTAACGAAAATTGATTGAGAGCAGAAGGTTTTACCTTTTAATATCCCAGTCATCCGCCGTCGTACTGTCATTAGGGAACTTTTTGATAGCGATCTTGTTTGTCATTCGTAATGGGAATACGGTACGTTCCAATGGTAGCTTTTCTGCTGAATATATTACCTGGTGATTGGTAACAGATGGTTCAACTACTGGTATAGGTGGACTCTTCTTCAGACCCTTAAGTACTTAAAATAAATTAAATTCAAATATTATTGGTCGCTTTATAATAAGTATAGGACATATACTATACTGCACTTGACCATACATCTTGAAATAGCTAAAATGATGTGATGATAATGATAGTGAAAGTGTTATAGGTACTGTAGGTGGCGCTGCTTTGTAACGACCCGGTACAATGTTATTATCTTCAATGGTATTTTTTAATTTTTGTTTTTCTTGCGTTACAATTTATCTATTGCTTGGGTATGCGAGCCTTTAGAACATTAGTAAAGCATCGCCCTTCTCTATAATGCATAGTTTGCAGTGGCGGCGCATGTTGGGGGAGGCCCTCATCGGACAAGTCAAGCTCCACCCCCACCAACCGAGCTCATCAGGCAGTCGGACCATAAACAAAATTAAATATAGGCCTACACCAAGCCAAAACCGGTCTTTCACGGTCATAGAGTGCCGTTTCCTGCATGCCATCCAGAGGTCCCCATTTAGAAAAAAAAAAGATCTCACACCCTACTTCGAATCGTCATCAAAATCTTAACATTTTTTCGTTGAAACATGACAAACTATCTGGAAGTATAATTTTGATCCATTGATCCATTTTAGAGATATTTAGGTCTGGGACCTAATGACCATGGGATGCACACCCGAATTTGGAACGTCACCAACACTTAATAATTTCTTCCTGGTAACTTGGTTAATTTTTCACGAAAGTTTCATTCAACATCAATTGATTAGTTATTGAAATATCGGGTCTGTGACCCTTTTTTTTTTAATGACCCTGCTATCCACACCCACTCCGGGTGGTCACTAAAATTTAAACATTTCTTTATTGGAACATGACAAAATACTCGGCATAGTGTCATTTAGATCCATTAATATTTAGGTCTGGGACCTTAGCACTTTAAGTGACCATCAAATTCACACCCGAATTTGAATCGTCACCAACACTTAATAATTTCTTTCTTGTAACTTGGTCAAACTTTCACAAAGCTTTCATTTAGATCAGTTGATTAGTTTTCAACTGGTCTATGACGTTTTCCTTTTAATGGTCCTCATATGCACACCCTACTCAGGACTGTCCGGAAATTTACTCATTTCTTCATTAGGTCGTACCTAACACTCCCTGTAACTTTCATTTAGATCTGTGTAGCCGTTTTTGAGATAATTTGAACACAAATACACACACGAAAACGTGACAAAAACACATACGCAAACTTACACTACTGAAAATATATATCTCCTGGCGGAGATAATAAATAGGCCTAATACCAACAAAAATACTTCCAGAGGCGGCAAATAAGGCAGATGCATGTACTTACCCGTACCTTTGCTTTCAGTTTTCAAAACTGTCTTTTTGGCGTCATTAGGCTTAATACTTTTACTTTGTCTAGAACCTTCTAGAGTTTGAGAGCTAAAAAATCCACTACTATACTGCGTTCCAACTCTCTGACTTCCAGTAAGCGATAATTTGCTGCAAGTAAGAACATCCTCAATTCCAGATTCAACTTCAAGATGTTTTGGAGAACCTTTAGCCAACACTACAGATAACTTGGGGTTTATATTCTGGGATGACATGCTTTCTCCAAGCTCGTTTATTTGGGGAAGTGTAGCATATTTTAATAAAGTAAAATCAGAACTTGTCCTTGTCGGCTTTACTGTGGGTTGCTGTAGAATTTCATATTTTCGCGAGTTACCAAAGTAGTATTTATAAAAATTAATATTCGTTGGCAACAGCTTGCCAATTGGTTTTGCTTTTCTTTGTTTTTGTAACATCTTTTCGTATCTCTTGCGATGGATTTTCAGGTGCTGTTGCATGTTAGTTTCCATTTTCATTTTTTCAAGGTATAAGCTGTGCTTTTTAGCTTCTAATATTTCAGAGTGTATGGTTTCCTTTCTAACGGTTGGTGAGGCTTTTTTACGTGTATTGTCAACCTGTCCAAAGCAGCTATCTGGTACAAAGAACGTTCCTTGTGATTGTTCCTCTGTTTTCTTTATTGCTGGTAATTTCTTAAATTTCTCAATAGCTCTGGAAACGGACTTTAAATTACTTTCTTTGGGTTCGATGAGTGATTCTCTGAGCGATTCTTTGAGTGAATATTCTAATTTATCCTCCTGATTTTGATATACCAAATGCATTATTTTTGAAGATTCCTAACAAAATGTAAAATACGTGAGCTCAATAATAGTACATTATATTGTACTTCATTGTTCAAAATTCATAATTCATTATATGCCATTAAAAGTATAATCTAAAATCTAATTAGAATAATAGTTCGCTGAATTATCATTAATGATAAAGATTGGCCGAACAATATCCCAAAATAATCAATAGGCCTTAAGTGAAAATTATATCTATAGCGTAACATAATGAAAGATCGAATTAGTGTCAAATGTAACGTTTATAGTTTATTATAGTTCTTGTAAAGAGACTTTCTCTAACTTTGTATGCTCGTTCGTCTTACCCTGTCAAGCGCGCTGTCGTCAACTTGAGGTTCAGTCGTTTCGGTGGTGGTGGAAAGCCAATGGTCTACCTTGATGGATGGTGGTTGCAAGACTGCTAAATCTTTAGGTAGTTTTCTATCAGGGATTTTCGAAAAAATTCTAAATGCTGCGTGGGGATCTTGACAGAAGACCGTATTTAATATGGTTTTCTATTCTCCAAAAAAAAAAAAAAAACAACAAACAAACAAAACAAAACAAAAAACAAAAACAATCGTAAATAATGATAATAATACTACTACTACTACTACTACTACTACTAATAATAATAATAATGATAATAATAATAATGATAATAATAATAATAATAATAATTATTATTATTATTATTATTATTATTATTCATTGTATTCAATTATATGCTTAACATTTCTGATGTCATACCATTATATTTATTCATTTTTTAAATTACTTTGTCATTGTAAAATTCATATTTATATATAATTAAAAACGTAGCAATTCATTATTCAATTTCAGTGTTACCTTTT